GAAAAGGTGTATTTTACATTTTAAAAGTTAAAATATTGGTATTTTTAATGTGATATAAAAGACTTGGGTGGCATCGATATAAAAAGTAAAGTTTGGGTTTTAGATATGTAAACATATAAGAATTGGGTTTAATGTATGTAAATGCTCCATCCGTTGTTCTTTTTAGCAGCTCGTAACTAAGTCATAACATTTTCTCTAGTTAAGGTAAACCTTTTCTCAACACTTTCAATATTTGTCTTTTCATATTGCTTCATCAAATAAATGTTTAATCTAACGCTACATCTTGGAAGTTTGCCATCGTTCTTATTTATAGGGAGGAATTAATAATTATTTAATATGAATGTTGAATCCTAACTATTTAGCGTCCAGCTATACTTAGATTCATTCTATCAGGTAACATTTTGTTTGCTCTATTCCTCATTGAAAAGTTGCTTTGATATTAACTTATTATTTTAAAAATTGCTTTCAATGCCTTTTTTTTTTTTTTTGTGTTAAAGTACATGCATGGCCATCTAACACCTAAACTATAATTTTTACATTTATGCCATTAAAATCTTTCATTTCACATAAAAAATACCATCTTTTTAACTTTTAAAATGTGAAATACATCTTTTTATGCATAGGTGAAGTGCCTTGTATGTAAAAATTGAAGTGAAGTGCCTTGTATGTAAAAATTAAAGTTTAGGTCTTTGATCTATAAATACATAAGAATTGAGTGGTATGTATGTAAATCCTCAATTTTTTTGTCTATTTGCAATTTTTTCTGCATGAATTTCACAGTTCTTTCATATTTTGTAGGCCTATGTGAGGCAAGAAAATGTTCTTCTGGGAACACTTACTGTTAGGGAAACCATAACGTACTCCGCACATTTAAGGCTTCCTTCCAGTATGAGCAAAAAGGAGGTGGCCACCATTGTGGAAACCACTATTGAGGAGATGGGACTCGAAGACTGCGCTGATGGACTAGTAGGGAACTGGCATCTGAGGGGCATTAGTGGGGGAGAGAAGAAGAGGCTCTCTATAGCACTGGAGATTCTCACAAAACCTCCAATTCTCTTCTTGGATGAACCCACCAGCGGGCTCGATAGTGCCGCCGCCTTTTTTATTGTCCAGACGCTGAGGCAAATGACGCGCGACGGAAACAAAACCGTCGTCTCCTCCATTCATCAACCAAGCAGCGAGGTCTTTGCGCTATTTGATGATTTGTATCTTTTGTCAGGCGGAGAAACTGTATATTATGGAGATGCTATGATGGCTACTAAGGTATAGCCCTACTCCTGAACAAAAAATGAAAAAAAAAAAAAGGAAAATGTACATACATATCTCACAATTCTTATGCATTGACATATCTAATACTGAAAGTTTGATTTTTTACACTTAAAACACCTTTGGTGTCATAATTCCATGGATGAAAGTTTTAGTATTTTGGATGCAATGTTAGTGATATGAATGTTATGCATATAAATTTCAATGTGTGGGTGACGATCATGTAAATACATATGAAATTTGGGGTATGTATGTAAATCTTTCAAAAAAGGGAAGATTTATTTTTGTTCAGTTAGCAGAGCTGATTCTTATTAACTTTTATCTTTGGATAGTTCTTTTCAGAGGTGGGATTACCCTGCCCTATCAGAAGGAACCCATCAGATCATTTTCTTCGATGTATTAACTCTGATTTCGATCGTGTGAACGCTACACTAAAAGGATCAATGAAGCATATTGTACTATGTGCCCCCTCTCCTGCTCCCTATAATTTGAAATATTTTTATGCAAAGTTATATAAATGCCATATTTACAGTTGATGTAATGTTTTTCATGCAGGAGTCTGAATCATCTTCAGATCCCCTGTTGAAGTTAGGAACCATGGAGATCAAATCATTGCTCGTCGATAAGTACAAGAGCTCAGAGTACGCTATGACCGCGAAAAGGAAGATTGCAGAGCTATCCAAAATTGTATGTTTCTATCATTTTTCAACAGGACTTCAATTTTAATCCCATAAATGAAGCTAAGGGGCTGTTTGGTAGCCAGTTTTATGCTGGATTTATGTATAAATCCTGCCAAATAGCAAAAAACAAAACCATAAATCCTGTAATAATGCTGATTCACGATAAATCTGGAATTTTTAAATTCCGTAGTTTGGCGGATTTAACAGGATTAAAGGAGAACTGAAACAAACTCTCGTGCGATAAGAGCTCGAGATGAGAAATTTTCGGAGTGACAGATTTTTTTTTTCTTCATTTTAACCTATTAAGAGATGTAACCGGAGGTCTGATTCTTTTTGTTCAACTTGAGCTTTGTTGTTATTCGGATTTGGATTGAGCTAAATTCACCCTAGGCATGTAATCGAATGAATTCTAGAATATTTTAAACTATAGTTACAAAGTTCTTCGTTTAGTTACATTTTACTAAATCCTGTTAAAATTGCCAAACAATTTTTAGGATTCATAAAAATTTACTCACAAACATACCAAACTGTGATAAATCCAGATTTACAGGATTTATTAAAACCTACTTGCACCCAAACAGCCCCGAAAAGTTCAAAAATTTATCAGATTTAATGAATTATTTGATAATATTCTTTTGTTTGACTAATGGTCTTATTTTCCTAATAAAGTTTGTTTGTTTTATTCAGCAAGGCTTCACGGCGGAATTTCGTAAGGGGAGTCATGCTGGCTGGTTGAAGCAGCTCAGAACGTTGACCAGAAGATCTTTTGTCAACATGTGCAGAGATTTTGGGTACTATTGGCTGAGAATCATGATCTATATAGTGGTTTCTCTCTGTGTTGGTAGCATCTACTACAATGTGGGCACAAGCTATACTGCTATACTGGCCCGAGCTTCCTGTGGATCCTTCATCTCTGGTTTCATGACCTTTATGTCCATTGGTGGTTTTCCATCTTTTCTGGAAGAAATGGTGGTTTTTTATCATGAAAGGAAGAATGGATACTATGGTGTGGCTGTATATACTTTATCTAATTTTTTATCAGCTTTTCCCTTTTTAGTAGCAGTTTCCATTGCTACAGCTAGTATAACCTTCTTCATGGTGAAAGCCCACAATGATTTCTCTCATTTTGCGTATTTTGCGATCAGTATTTATACTGGTATTGCTATAGTTGAGAGTATAATGATGGTGGTCGCATCTCTTGTTCCCAATTTTCTAATGGGGATTGCTGCTGGAGCTGGAATCATGGTGAGTAGTTAATTTTCCTACTCATCAGGCCACATAATTTTTATGTATTTACACATCTAACGCCTAAAGTTTGATATTTTTCATGCTACAGGTAATATTTATAATTTATTTATCTATTTATTTTTTAGTATTTCCATTGCCATCTTATATAAAAGCTTTGCAGGGAATTATAATGATGACGGCTGGATTCTTCCGTTTGCTTAGAGAACTTCCCAAGCCAATGTGGCGATATCCAATTTCCTACATGAACTATGGTGCATGGTTGCTACAGGTCATGTTTTGATTTATGCATCTCATCTCCATCTAATATTTGATTTTAACCTATCATTCCAAGCATTTCATTGCATATTGGTTAGTTAGAATTGCCCAAATTTGTGATATTTTTTACCTTATAAATCTAAAAGTATATATCCACTGATGTTAAACTTCAATTTTTCACAGGGAAATTACAAGAACGACTTCATCGGCGCAACTTTTGATCCTCTGGTGCCCGGCGATCCAAAATTGTCTGGAGAATTTGTCCTATATGATACCTTTGGGATTACCTTGGGCCATTCAAAGTGGATAGACATGTTAATAGCCGTTATAATTCTCATAATCCACAGGATTCTTTTTTTTCTCATAATCAAATTGAAGGAGACCACCTCTCCTTTGTTCAGGGAGCTCAATGCTAAAATTCTAAGCCTGAGGAAACCTTCTTCCTTCAAGCTGAGGAAAAATTCTTTCTCATTATCAAATGGCACACAGCATCCAATGGCCTCACAAGAAGGTTTGAGCTCTCCACTTCCTTGAAAGTATTGTTACACTAAGCAATTCTGTCATAATTAAAAGAAGGAAAATAAATGAGAAATAAATCTTGTGATTTGAGAAGCATTAATGTTCTATGATTGGGATTGTGTTAAAATGTGTATTACTCTGGGATTTTAATGGAGGATGATTGATACAATGGCTTTTCATTTTTAGTTTTCATGATGTTTGATATTAGCAATGCTATTATATTAGAAAAATTACAAAATTGCCTAAATTGCATTGGGAAAAAAGATTAATTTTACTATTTATATAAATAAATTGTAAATTTTGTGGGGCGCAATTGTCCACCCTGAAAATAACGGGATTTCGCTCTTAATTTTAAGTAGATTGTTTTTATGTTTTTTCTTTTAATATGTCATAAAGAATCGGAATGTGATTATCTGCTCCTGAAGTGTGAGTGTGTTCTTCTGTTTGGGGTAACTGCAGGTTATTAAGAAGCTACTTTGAAGTTGCTGAAGAATAATTTGATGTTGCAAAAAATTGCGGTGGCTATTACATTTAAAAAATAATAATAATAAGGTCATATCACAGCTAGAAAATTGCCAGCACATCCAGTCAGGAGCAGTGGGAAAACGCTGATTTCAAAGGCAACTTTTTAACAAAGCTGCCAAAACACAGTTTATCCCAACAGACAAAAGTGTGTTGTTGTACCACACCGCCACCGCACCGTTGCCCAAACACATAAGTTGAAAAAACATTTTTTATCTCTGACTTTGATTAATTTGTCATTAATGCGGTTAGTTCTCAAGCAAGGAGTTTAAAAACTTGAATTCCTTAACTCACTCTTAATTTGCAGTCTTGATTAATTTGTCATTAATGCGGTTAGTTCTCAAGCAAGGAGTTTAAAATCTTGAATTCCTTAACTCACTCTTAATTTGCAGTCTTCTAATTGCTTTTAGTTCATGAGACACATAAGACAGTGTGAATATTGTGAAGGTAAAACATATTTGAATTGCCTAATCGTCTATAAAGTCTTATAAGTGTTATACAACTTAAAAACAAGGCTTTGAGAACCAAATAAGCTTGAATGATGGGGAAAAGGGATCATAATGTCCTAATTACTATTTTATCATATTGAAGTTTTCAAACATGATTGATTTCTCATATATTATGAATTTAATATATTGATAATAAAATCTAATTTATATTACATTATCTTAAAAATAAATTGAATGACATCAAATCTATTAAAATTAAATTTATTGTTCTTTTTTATACAACTGAATGATTTGCGGTCAGCGTGGTTGGTGATTCAAGCAGTGGAGTTGATTGCTCTCCTTATATGAAGGGAGATGAAGTGACAAAAGATGCGGGTGTTGGATGATGCCCTCAATGTCAAACCTTTTCAGGTAATCAGCTTGTTAACTCTCTTTATACATGAGAGGTTGGGTGATTTAGATGATGTTGGATGTTGTTGGGTGGTGGATATCATACTTTAATCATGAGTATGTCGAACGACGATTTGTTGGGAACTCAATAAGCCAAACAACGAAAGTCTCTCATTGCGATAGTTCTGTTTGTTTGCTTTGTTTTTTAGATCGTCATCACAATTTTGTTTGAGGAATTCTTTTTTGATGATTTCTAAAATTTTTGTGTAGTGAAATTGTTTTTTTCAATTTGATCTTCTAACGTGCAGTGGATGTAAGAAAGTTTGTATGTTTTTATTTGTAATTTGAAAAAAAAATATGCTTATAATTCTCACTACAACCTTTTCAAGTAATTAATTTCTCAGCCACATGTTTTATAATAACTTCTTTAAAAAGTTGAAGCCACCCCACGATCTAACAATAGTGAAGATTGAGTAATAAAAAAAAATAGTAGGCATACATAATTTATTAATTAGTGTCAAACAATAAAGGATGACAAATGTGCGAGTTGGTTGGATTAATTGAATATAAGCGTTGTATGTATATATATATGTCGTACAAAGAAAATGTGTTAGCATTGGTCCTGACAAAATAAAATGCTCTCTTATCCAATTGAGTGCAGTTGTTAGAGCCAAAGTTTGTAAGGACAAAGCCGATCGAGCCACAGAAGACGATCAATCTAAGTCTGAAACATAAGTCAAAAACAAAACAAAAAGATATCCAAGCTAACCACTACGAACAATCTCTATTCATATCAAGGACGTCTGGAAGTCTCCCAACCAAGAGTCGATAGCTTTTCTAGATCAGACGACCAACAATGGTGACCATCCTTAGCATATTGAATCAGTCTCACTTGTCCAAAGCCAATCAAATTAAGCCAATCGAGCCAGAAAATGACTAAGCAGCGAGCTCATGCATGTAAAATATCAAGTATAACCTATACGACCCTTTTAAAAGCAATGACAAAAATATAACATCATCACATTTTACTCACTTGTTATAAATAGAAAGAACATTTTATGAATAAGAAATGATTGATATGAAGCATTGTTGGTCATTATCATTCACTACTCTCCTTTTCACTTTCTTTCTCTCTTAACTTACGGTTTATTCATTGATGTGTTTCACCCACAAATCAAGATTCATTCACATATATATGAAGAATGGTCAGAGACTACTATACGAGCTCTCAGTCATCCTTATTTTACTAATCACTTGATCAGCACTGCAAGACATATGTACTAAGGCGGGCTCCAACTCGCGACCCCAGGAGACTCAAGAGTGACAATGTGGCCGTCAATAAAAGAGTCACGGTGCACATCAAACACATACACATGGCAGCCTCCTCCAAGTGGGTGGGTTAAGTTTAACACCGAACACCGACGGGAGTTGGAAACCCTCTTGTGTTGTGATTGGGGGCATAGCCCGGGATGATGAGGGCAGGGGTAAGCTTTTTTTCTCATCCCCTTTTGTTACTGATAATCCTCTAGAAACTGAAGCTACTGTGATTTTAATGGCCGTCTCTATTGCTGCCATTTTAAATTGGCAGCAGATTTTAGTTGAGACTGATTCAAAAATTTTAATTGATTTTATGAATGGGGTTAGAGCGGTGTCGTGGGACATTTCATATCATTTCCAACGAATTAAACAAGTTAATTAGCATGTCTCTATCATTTGGACTTTCACATTTAGAGAGGGAAATAGACCGGCAAACTGGTTGGCTAATGTCGGTGCTACTTGTCACAATATTTTGGTTGGTAGAATGCTGCCTTGGGCTTTATACTATTTGATCTCTGGGGATCTTTGTTCGACCCTAGTTTGTTTGTTTCCTTATCTCGGTTTGGTGGATATGGGGCAGGGGATGCTTTGTTTTATGTTTTCATTTCGCTTGGTGAAGTGAGGAAGCGGCTTTTGGTGCACTATTTTCTCCTTGCTAGTTATTCTTTTGGATGGGGTTTGTTACCTGTTATGCGCATCTACTATATCAGGCGACCTTGATCCCGTGCACTTGGGTGGCATCTGCAGTGGAATTGACTTGCATTTTTGGATGAGGTTACGGTATTTGATGCTTAGGTTTGGGGCTTTTTATTTTGATGTTATGTTTTCTATGTTGATTGGAACCTTTGGTCTTGAGACTTTCCCAATTGACTATTACGTTTACGAGTTTTCAAGCTGATTTCCTTGTTGTTGCCTCTCTTACCTGGATGGTTTTGTACTATTGCGGCCCTTTCTCTTTGCTGTCTTTTTTGGATACAATTCTTCTTCTTTTTGCCTCGAAAGATCCTCCGAGCATAGGCTCAAGCGTCTCCAATTTTCTAGAGCACCTTTAGGTTTTGGATTTTTTTGTACAGATTCCTGGGCATAGGTTTTTGTGTTTTGGGTATACGATATTATGTTTACTTTTTCAGTGGAGTTGTAATGTGGTCGATGAACCTCGTGTAATGTATTTTTTGGAATTTTAGCTTTGGGGGACCCTCTCACTATATCTTTATACTCAACTTTTGTGATTAACATGTAGGGAGCCGAATAATGCTCATTTCCCCCAATGAAGAGAGAGAGAGAGAGAGAGAGAGAGAGAGAGAGAGAGAGAGAGAGAGAGAGAGATGTATACTATCATATTCATAATTGGGGGCATCGAGGCTGCATTTATGTTTGGTCAACATTTTATGACAATGTAGTTCATCTTTGAAAGGGTCATTGAATGAGGGCTATTTTTAAAAAAGATAAATAGATTTTGAGGACTATTTATTATCATCCTCGTTGAATTAGTTAGTTTATAAAAATATCGGAAAGGATATGTAGGCATTTAACAATGCCCGATAATTTAATATTTTATCAATATAATTTGAACCATAATGGGAATGGTCAATTGCGTGTCTGAATATATTTATCTGTCTATCATTATCTCTAAATTAAAAGAAATGATTAAAAAAATATAATAATATCTTAATTTGTTGGTTGTAGTAATTATTTGTTCACCAATGCATACCATACAAATCATTTGTATTACCAACTTAATCTTTCACATCACATCATTAATAATGCACATCACAAACGTGCATGCACGAATCTTAAGGAGGTATGACGGTCGAGAAGTTGATGTGGCAGTTCTGAACCCACCAGGAATAGTTCAAGGGCTCATATTTATTTAACCGGCTCCTGCGGGTCAAAAGAAAAATAATCCCAAAACCAACCAAACTCGACCAGCCTCATAAAGATTACTAGTCCAAAACTCGCGCTGGTGAATCCTTCGACATTCCTCACCCAAGTAGGGTGAATAATGAGAGACGCCCAAACCTAAAGCAGTCGGTTGGCGTTTCCTGGTACACCCAATAGGGTCATTGCCTCACGCTCCCAGCATGAGGGCGCCCTGTTCGAAATCTGAACGGGTGGCATCCCAAGACGTCATTTCATGCTCCCTGTCCCATCCAGGCTGAACGTCATTTCAGGCTCTCGCCCCTATAATTATGTGTTGACCAAAATACTTACCTTATACTTATTTTTCTAGGGGTAAAAAAATGTAATTTTACATCTCTCATTCCTATAAATATGTGCTCATTTCATGAATAAAAGTTACGTGATTTTACTGTTTATTAACAAACTTTCTGCACTCTTTCTTTTTTTCTCGCTCTATTCCTTGGACATGTCTCCCAAACAATTTCGAATTCAACAATATCTCTATTTTAATTTTAAAATATAAAATTTGCTTTTTCAAAATAATATAAATAAATAAAGTAAAAAATAGTTGATATATTCAATTTAAAAGTTC